CCGGAATTACAGGCATGTGCTACCATGCCCGGCTGATTTTTTGAATTTATTGTAGACATGAGGTCTTGCTGCCCAGGCGGGTCTCGAACCCGCAGGCTCAGGCAATCCACTCACCTCAGCCTCCAAAAGGCATGGGACTACAGGCTGAGCCACCGAGCCCAGCTTCTTTTTTTTTTTTTTTTTTTGAGTTGGAGTCTCACTCTGTCACTCAGACTGGAGTGCAGTGGCCACTCCTGGCCACTGCAGCCTTGACCTGCTGGGCTCTGGCGATCCTTCCGTCTCAGCCTTCCAAGTAGCTGGAACTACAGGCGTGTGCTACCATGCCCGGCTAATTTTTGATTTATTGCAGAGATGAGGTCTTGCCAAGTTGACAAGGTGGGTTCTCGAACCCGTGGGCTCAGGCATTTCACTCACCTCAGCCTCCCAAAGCGCTGGGATTATAGGCTGAGCCACCGAGCCTGGCCAGTAAATTTCTTAAAAAGTAGAATTATTGGGTCAAATGCATATTTACTTTTGTTATATATTACCAAATTCTGTAAGGTACCATTTTGAGAATTTTTGCATCAATATTCTTAAACAATATTAGAATTAAATAATATTCTTCATATATTAATAAAGTATTTTTATGTTACCTTTACCTGGTTTAAGTATTAACGTTATACTTGTTTTAGAAAGAACCGTTTGAGGCAATCCCCTCGGGTCCCCTCCCACTGGGAGTTTTTCTGTCCTCTCAATAAATCCTGCTTTATATATTTAAAAAAATTGGAAGTTTAAAAACTTTGTTATTCAGTCAGTATCTTGGTGTGCAGGCAGCATGCTCTCTGTGGGTTTGTTCACATATGAACTCATTCTCTGGCCCAGATGTAGCATGATGGCAACTTCATTTGTCCAAAGGCAATTTTTAAAAAATAAAATATTCTTGTTATCAGATCAGCCACCTGAATCAGAGTTGAAGAGGTGTATATTCCCATCTTGGTTGGGAACGTTCACCAAACAACAAGGAAAGGAGCATCATGAGCAACCGGGAGCTGTGAAATCCAGGGAACATCCACTAACCCCCAGTATGCAGAGCTGTGCCCGTACTTCTGTGTGAGTGTTGGGGTATCTGTGGGTGTGCTCCTGTGTGTGCCATGTGCCTGTGGCTGGTCTGTGTGAGCGTGGCCATGTCTCTGTGTCCTGTGTGCTGCTGCTGTGTGTCTGTGTTGTTGCATGTCCACCCAAAGCGAGGGAAGAGATGCAGACTAGTTCCCAGTCCTTCCCAGCCTGATGCAACTAAACAAGAACCCTCAAGTCATTGCCTGCATATCCTGTTTCTGCCCTCCTCATTCCAGAATCCATCCTCTCCTTCTGGTCCCTTGACACTGACTGTGGGCTTTTAGGGGATGGGGAGGTCAAGGGAAGCAGGTGTGGCCGAGGAGAAGGAAGCAGAGCCCAGGAACAGCAGGAGGGAAGCCAAGAGGACACTCAGCAGGGCGAGGGAGCAGGAGAGGGCTCTGCATTGTGTGTGTGAGTGTGGGGCTGAGTGTGGGGCTGAGCGTGAGTGTGTGAGGGTGGGGGTGAGTATGAGTGTGTGAGGGTGAAGGGGGTGAGTGTGTGTCAGTGAGGGAGTGTGTGGGTGGCTGTGCATGTGCGCATCCGTGTGTATGCATGGAGGCATGGGACCATGACCTAATGATCTGTCACCAGTAGAACCCAAGTGTGGCCTGTCAGCACTGGCCTACCCTACTGGAACACCCTGACCCCACTCAGTTTTTCTCCTTCCTCCACTCAGGAAGAAGGGTTCGTTTTCAACACACACCCTGCTCCTCTCCACAGAACTCTGGCTGAATGCTTAATATGTGACAAGTTTCCCCCTGATCTGTGCTTTCCTTTTTGTGTCTGGGAGACAAAATATCCTCAGGGGGCTCCACCCTCTGGGGGAATCCCACAGCTGGAGGGGAGTGCCCTCCTCTCCTGGACTTTCATCCCTGCCATGTCCCCTCCCTCGGCCCCTCCACGTGCCTGCCTGCAGCTGGGGCCCAGGGACTGGGTCCACAGTTGGAGCTGTGCTCTTGGACTCCAGCCTTGCCCTGACCCCTCGTCTGACTCTCCCTTGTCTCCTAGCTTCAGGCACTACCATGTTCGGCCTCAACAACACGCCCTGACGCTGCCATGACTCTTCCCCAAGAGCTGTCTGCCTGCCTCACCCTTTCCTCTGTCCCCAAAACCCGACTCCATCTGGATCCAACTCCTGGTCGTCTCTGCTCACGTGGAAGGACTTCTCAGAGCTGCTGGAGAGAACCCCCACCCAATGCTCTGGCCATCAGACATCCACAGTCCAGCCTCACGGGGATCCTCAAAGCCACCCAGCAATATGAGCCCTTGTCCCAAGTCATCCCGCCCTCTCTTCGTCCTCTTATTTCAGTCTTTGTCACTTCCTCGTCACCATCCCCCTTTATCCTTAGAGAGGACCTCAGCCCCTCGGTCTGTAGAGAAAGGCTACTCAGGCAGAACCTCCTTAACTCTCCCAGCCCCCCCACCGTGGCCTTGCACCTGCCTTCATTCTCACCTGCACCCCCTGCAGCAGCCCCTCCTCGGCATCAGAGCTGGGTGACGGCCCACCTCCTGCCGTCCCTGCCAGCAGGGTCCACCTTCCTCTCTAGGGCTTAACGATGCCGCACTCTTTCTCACCTCCTCTGTAGTAGGACCAGAGCATGTGACCTTGTCCTAATCAACAAAACACAGGGGAAGTCTGCAGGAGACTTGGAGGGAAGGTTGTTCTCCCGGGTCAAGGCATGAGGGGAGAAGCCCCTGTGTGACGGCCCACGGAGTCATGTCTGGAGCTGTAAGAGCCTCACTGACCAATGGAGAGTCAACCAAGGAAAGAGTCGGAGACCCACAGAGAAACCGACCCAGATCCTTGAGCTGGGTGGACGCTGGAGGAGCTACTCCTCACTGCTCAGACCACATTTGTTGGCCTGTGGCTTGGAACTGAAAGAACCTTCTCATCCAACGCTGACTTTACCAGTAGGTGGACCTGTCCGCTCCCTGAGGACTCTGCCCTACCACTCATCCCTCTGGCCTGTGATGACCAGGTCTCTGGGTTCCTTCTTCTCAGCATATAAAAACATAATTGTGCCTTTTCCACCTGGCCATCTTGAAACAAACCACAACAACGCAGAAGGTCCGCTCTCTCCCAGTCTGCATTCTTGCTTGAGGAGGAGGTAGAGAGGAGAGGGAACGACAGATTCCCCTTAAGAGGCCACGCAGTAGCGAAACCACGAGATTCTGATGTACGGACGGGAAGCTCCCTTCTTGGGACAGGGGATTGAAAAGCCTGCTCCTCTGTCTCTCCTCTGCTCTGCTGCCGTCAGCTCGCCCCGATTCCATTCCTAGGACAGTCGCTCTTGTTGCCCTCTGTGAGCCATATGCTATTTCATATGTGTATGTTCATGTTCCCTCTCTCCAGGGGGCTGCTGTGGTTTCTCCCAGCCCTGTGTCCCCCTACACTGGGGCATCTGGACTTTGCAAGGTCCATGCTGGTTCTGGCCTGTGCAGAAGGTGGAGCACCGCAGCTGCAGGAAGCCACTTCTACTCCATCTTCCCTTTGTGCCTGCCAGATTGCCTTGCAAGGTGTTCCACATAGCTTAGGGGCACCCTACATCAGTCTTTTGTACATTTTAATGGGCACATGCATCACCCAAAGATCTTGGTAAAATGCAGATTTTGATCAAGCAGCTCTGGGGTAGGGGCCGAGATTCTGCATTTCTAACAAGCTCCCAGCTGTTGCTGAACCATGGCCCACACTTTGAGTAGCGAGGTTCTGAATACTGAACATTGGTACTGCAGGGGGATGTGGAGATTCAGTTCCCATGCCCTTATTTTCCAGATGAGGAAACATATCCAGAAGGTTAAGCAGCTTACTTTCTCAGAGCTCTTTAGAAAGAGTGGAAGGAAGCATTTCTCTGATGCTGCTCCTGGTCTGTCACCCTCCTTGGCCTAGTGAGGCCTTTAGGGGCAGGGATAGGATTTCATCTCACACACTTGGTCTGTTTTGCTCTCCTAGGACAGACTCATCCCGGAGTGATCCTAAACCTTGCCCAGCTGGGGAGTGAGATGGCAGGGAGGGCTCACTCCCCTATGTTGGGCAAAAAACTCAGGAAATCACTGGTGGGGGAGAAGGAACTGGCTTTTGCCAACTCGCACTTAAGACAACCAAATCTTTGAAAGCTGTGACCCTGTGAGAAGGATTCTGAGGTCTTCCTTCCCCCTGGCCAGGTAGCTTTTAGGTTCACCTGAATAACACCTCTGCCTTTTCAAGACTCTCCAGATGCCATGCTTCCATGTGAACTGATGTAGGTCTTTCTCTGTAGATGTTGTGTGCCTGCATACCCCACCTTGGCCCAAGAAGAAAAACAGAAGTAAGCGTGGAGCTGCACCGAAGCTAAACATACACACTGGCTACCCGTGGACACTGACTTGGCTCTCGGTTTTCTAGAAGATGAAACAAAAGGGAAGAGGAATGACTTGCTCAGGAGTGTCCTCTGGCACCATGTGATGAGGCAGGCTTTCCTTCCGGGCACACAGGCATGAACTCACACACACAGGCTGCGCCATGGGTGTCTGACGGGCTGCAGCTTGTGCCACACAATTCAGTAAATGCGAAGTCATGAGTGGGGACCAGTGCAAGGTTCCATCGTCAGTGCTGCTGGTCTGACTTGACTCGGGCAAGATATTTAGCATTTCTGGAAGAGTGGATAGCATTGTGCTTTTTAAGTCATCCTCCTACACAGGACTTATCCATCAGCAGAGTGCTGCAGCCTGTCTCCCTGGACAGTGCCTTGGAGACAGCTGTTGCTGGTGATTGCACACTCCTGAGCCTGAAGGGACCAAGCAGCTTAGACTGAAGGGTGAGGGGATTGACCAGTTGGCCTCCCTTTGCATAGGGAGTTGCTGAACAAGGATGCTCACCTGAATAGCGTCTCTTTTTCCATGGGAGAAGCATACGGCCAACGCCCAGCCACCCATTGGGGCTGGGTACTCTTCCCTGCTCCCCTAGGAGGGGCACATCCATGCACATGGGGAAGAACGTGAGGTGGTAAAATAGGTTTATAGAGGTCCTGCAACTGCTATGGAGGGTGGGAGAAGGGGACAGGACAATGTCCTGAACACACTGCTAGAAGAAAAGATGCTGTGAGGACCTGGCCACCATCTAGGACCCTGAGAACACACACACTCCCAGCAAAGACACCTGTTCAGAGAGAACCCACCTGCTCTTAGACAGGATAAGTCACTTTCTTACCTGCTGAGAGGCGGCACGGTGACAGGCCTGGGCAGGGGACAAAGGCTGAAGGTGGCAGCAGCAGTCAGTTGTCAGATGAGAGGGTGGTCAGAGCTCCTGCTTTGAGGTGCACCTGAAAGCACAACCAGAGCCATGTCTACAAGTGTACAGGTGTCCCTGTTGGTCTTGGTGTCCCCACTGCTCCGCTCCCATGGCTGCCCTCTCCTCAGGCCTAGCCACTTTCCCTGCAAGCCTGAGGACTCTTGAAACAGACCTGAGGAAATGGTGAGCAGAACGAGAAACCCCGGATCGGACACAGAGCAGACTGGGAACACAACTCAGGGCCGCAGACTACCCCAGGCCTCACCAAACACTGCTCCTCCCCCGCACAACCTGCAGGCCCAGTTGCTCTTCCCCACACACAAGCAGTCCCAGCTGCAGCCAAACCCCTGCCACATGGACACAGTTCATATGTGTTTTTTGCTTTTTTTTTTTTTGAGTTGGAGTCTTACTCTGTCACCCAGACTGGAGTGCAGTGGCACGCTCCCAGCTACCACAGCCTCAACCTGCTGGGCTCCGGCGATCCTTCTGCCTCAGCCTTCCGAGTAGCTGTAACTACAGGTGCACGCTACCACGACCAGCTAATTTTTGATTTATTGTAGAGACGATGACGGTTTCTGCCACATCTCTCACCAAGTTGCCCAGGTGGGTCTCAAACCCACAAGCTCAGGCAATCCACTCGCCTCAGCCTCACAAAGTACTGTTGGGATTACAGACTGAGCCACCAAGCCCAGCTTCATATATGTTTTATCCTTCTTCTTCTTCTTTGTTTATTTTTTATTTTTTTACTGCAATCCTCAAAGCCTTGTTTCCTTCTTCTTATTAAAATATACATCCAATGTAGCAAAATGTGAAGATAGAGAAAATTATTACAAAGAAAATAAAGACCAATTGTAATGCCTTTTCCCAGAGATAACTGTGATTACTATGTTGAGGTGTATTATTCTTACATAGATTAGAAATAACTTGATTTCAACCAAAGACATTTAGGACAGAAGAGACAACTAGATCCGACAACTTGAAAGGCCTCTTAAAGCCCCATTCGCCAGAGAGACACACATGGCCTCGTCCACCTCCCCCCTGGGCAGAGTCCCTCCAGGATGGTCACCTCTGGGTAATGGGCTCAATTTCCCAAGGGTTTTCTGAGTGGCCTGCCTCATAGCATCCATTTCTTTTTAGGTGTGGAAAAACATTTTTATTAACTCTTATTCTACAAGTATATATCCAAGGTGATCAACTTAGAACAGTATTTATTTATCAATTTATTTACATTTAGAACCAGGAGGTATATATGTGTATTTGTCACATGGACATACTGTGCAGTGGGGGGGACTGGGTCTCGGATGACCCATTCCCCAGACAGTGAACACTGTGCCCATAGGTAGTCTCTGAACTCCAAGCTCCCTCCCTCCTCCCTCATTACGGATGTCCCCAGTGTCTATTATTTCCATCTTTGTGACCATTTAGCTCCCACATATGAGTGAGAACATGCAGTGTTTGGTTTTCTGTTTCTGAGTCAGTTTACTTAGGATAATGATCTTCAGCTCCATCCATGGTACTGCAAAGGACGTTATTTCACTCTTTTTTAAATGGCTGCGTAGTATTCCATGGTGTATATATACATTTTACTACATTTTCTTTCCTTTCATTATAGAGATGTGAAGCACAAGTCAGGATTAATTACATAAGTAATCTACATGCAGGTGAAGTTTGGGCCTCCTACTGGTCCTCACTTCCCCTGGTTGAGGACCAGGTACCCTTTGTTTTATTATGTGCCCTCCCCATCCCCTGGCATCGTCCCGGAACTGCTGATCCCTCCCTTGTGCGATTGTTATTAACATTCAAGTTATGAGTGAGAACATGTGTGCACCACATTTTCATTACCCACTGATTGGTCGATGGGCATTTAGGTTGATTCCACATCTTTGCAATTGTGAACTGCAATCCACAACATCCGTTTCCAAGGGATCCTAAGAACTTGGAGCAAAACCAGAAGCCCGACAGGAATGAGCTGATGGCCCTGTTTACTCCCCTGGGCGAAGTGGAACCCAGATTCTCAGGAAGACGGCTTCCTAGGACGATCTCAGGAGTCTTCCCTGCCCACTCTTCTAGAAAGACATCGAACCTTGGGAGGTGGAGGTAGGAGAAGCCACCAAACGGCTCTGAAACTCCCCTCCTGCATCCTCTTCCAACTGCCTTAGCCATGGCCTGCAGGCACGGCCCATCCCAGGCACCTTCCCAAAGCCTCCTGCCTGCCGACACAGCCAGACCAACCCACATCCCTCTTCATGCTCTGACCTCTGTCTCAGTTCTGAAATCAGATATGCCCAGGGCATGTTTTTTGCTCTCAGCATCTTCAGTGGGCATCCATATGACTTCTCCCAGCAGATGCCCTGCAATAAATGCTGCAAATGCCATGAGGAAAGTTAAGGGGAGAACAAGAAAAATACAGGTGGGATGCTGATATTTGCTTTATTAGCTAGACTGAATATTTTGTGCATATACTATATTAATATCCCATTTTAGAAGGCATTGTCGGGGTTTTGTTGTGATGAGTTCCCTTGACTAGTTTCACGAATGAGGGTTCCCTGGTCATAGAAGCTTGAGAAACAGCCATGATTTTGCTTTTGTCTCTAGAGGGTCATAGCGATGATGAACACGTTAAAGGCTGGGGAACCTGGCAGGAAAGAAATCTGTTTCATTAATCCTGTATTCATTCCTCGGGATTATTAATCTAGGAATGCCCTAGTTGCTTTTTTGTTTTTGTCCTTTTAATATAATTATGCTGTTTACGCTTTTTTACCACATGCTGGGCTAAACAGACCCACCAAGGCAATGGCTTCCCTGACTCTGGGCGCCCAGGGCCCCACCCAGAGGACTGAGGAGCTGACCCTGGCTGAGCACCTATAGCCTGCCCGCTATGCACCCAGCTTGCTGTGGGGAAGCCATTCTCCACCAGTGGTTCCCAAAATTTATTGGGTATCAGATGTATCGGGAACGTATCAACACTAAGGCCCTGCTCTGCCCACCTCAATGGCATCTGGTTTCTGCCTTAGCTGTCCAGGGCATTCTGGTACATTCTTGAGTTTTAAAACCATTGCTCATAGGGAAGCAGTGGTGCTCAGACTGCTGAACATGTGAACCACAGGGTATGTGAGGGGAATTTTTTAAAGCTCCTGATGCCTGGGTCAAACCCCAGACCCTTTAAGTCACAATGTCTGGGGTAAGGCTCTGGCACCAGTGGCAGCTGTGTTGGAAAAGGCCATGGCTAATCTGCATTTAGCCAGAGTGTCCCACGTGCTGCTGCATATGCCAATCACTTGGAACCTCAGACTCTCTGAGGCTCCAAAGGCTCAATCACCTGGAACCTCAGACTCTCACGCAACAGGACTGGCCAGGGCCTCGAAAGGCTGCATGGCTGCTACTCACAGTGTGGCGGGATCTCCACAGCGTTGGCATCCCTGTGAGCTTGTTAGCAACACAGACCTCAGGCCCTACCCAGACCTACTGAGTGGAAGCTGCACTTTAATCCGGGTGACTTGTGTATATCAGAGTTGGAGAAGCTCTGTGTGAGACCGGAAGACCCAGGCCTGTTTTACCCAGGGTTCAAGATGAAGAGTCACCACAGACACAGGAGTCGGTAGTAAAAGTGGGGACAGCAGAGTCGCTATTCTCCTGTTCCTTAATGTTACGCACAGTCCCATCAGCGTTTTGGGCTCCTCTTTTAGATGAATTAAGTAATTCTAGTAGCTCTTTAAGAGACCACACCTCGGAAAAGGACTACACCAATGTCTCCTTGTTCACTTGGTATTTGCATAGCATCTTCCATCTGCTGCTTGGGATGCATTTCAGACATCACCCAGCCAACCTAGCTTGTGCCCCAGGAAAAGGTTGTGGACACCTTCGCCATATCATCACTGTTTCTTAAAATAAGACAAGTTGTTGGAGCTGATGGGAATTGAGCTTCCGGCTGGCTACCTTGATCTGCTTGCAGAAGAAAGCTACTTTTTAATAGCACTAAATTTTACCATTATGTTTTCAAAAAGCTTTTTTCCCCTAAAGAGAGAATATATATCTATTCTTTTAACAAGTTCCTGTATTTCAAATCGAGGTTGTGGGAAGATCCACTGTCTGACCACTAGCTGACTGAGAGTCCCTCAAAGGGAAAGGACTTGTTTTATTAGCTTCTGTGTCCCCAGTGCCAAGACAGGGCAGGTCCATAGTAGTTAGTCCACACAAACATGATTTGTGTGTGCATAAAATAACAAACTCAGGCTTCCACAGTGACTTTAATTCCCCAGTGACTGCTATTAACTGTTGATTCGATTCTTTGGTTTTTTTCAGAGATGGTGTTTCATTCTGTTGCCCAGGCTGGAGTACAGTGGCTTGATCACAGCTCATTGCAGTCTCAAATTCCTGGGCTCAAGTGATCCTACTGCCTATGCCTCCTGAGTAGCTGGGACTACTGGCACGTGCAACCATGCCTGGCTAATTTTTTAAACTTTATTTTTGTAGTAATGGGGCATCGCTATGCTGCCCTGGCTGGTCTTCAACTCCTGAACTCAAGTGATCCTCCTACTTGGACCTCCCAAAGTGCTAGCACTACAAGGTGTGAAGCACTGGACCCAGCCTCAATTCTTAAATGGAGCTAATTTAGCCCCTGGGTTGTGAAGGATCATGATCTATCATCACATATATTTATTGATGGTTCCAACTAACTTGTCATAGCCTGAGAAAGAGTGATGATATGGGGAAGGTATCCAAAACCCTTTCCTGGGGCATGGGCATGGCGGATTGATATCTGAAATACGTTCTAAGCACTGGATGGAAGATGCTATGCAAATACCAAGTGAACAAGGAGACACTGATGTAGTCTTTTTCTGAAGTGTGGTCTCTTACAAGGCTAATAGAATTAATTAAATCATCTAAAATATATGTATAACCAAAGAACTTGACCTGAACTAAAGCATCTACACTGGCTTCCATGATAGACTATTCTGAAGCCATTAGAAGGACTGAGACTTGTCTTCTCTCTAAGAGCTTAGGTGCTGAGAGGGAGAAGAAGTATAAATAAGGAA